CGATACGTCCCTACTGTAATCAGCCCGCTGGGTGCCTGTATGTACGGTAGCTGCAGCTAAATACAGTATACACTGGGCCAATCACGGTGAGTGATGTATTCTACTAATGAATACAAAGCCTGCTTGGATTGGCTGAGTCAGAGAGGTGGGCTGATGATGTCACAACCTCAGCCAATCGGAGCAGGCTTTGTATTCATTAGTAGAATACATCGCTCGCCGCCGTGATTGGCCCAGCGTATACTGTATGTAGACTCAGCTACTGTACATACACACATCCAGCGGGCTGATTACAGTAGGGACGTACCGGTACGTTTTGAAACAGCTTGGCTCAGTATACTGTATATACCGCACATCCAGCGGGCTGACAGATTAATCTCTCATATAGGGACATTTGTTTTGAGCCAGCTTGGCTCAGCATTACTGCGCGCGGTATACTGTATGTACATTACTGCACATCCAGCGGGCTGTATATATACTGTATACTGTATGTAGCCGAAGCTACCGTATATACCGCACATCCAGCACATCCAGCGGGCTGTATATATACTGTATACTGTATGTAGCCGAAGCTGCCGTATTACCGCACATCCAGCGGTAACATCTGATTTGGATTTTGATCCATATGATGACTGTCTTACAAATGTATCACAAGATGTCATTCATGAACTTATGATGTCAGAGGATGAACATGACGATTTTGAAGGATTTTAAGTACCGGTAAGTCAAAACCATTTCAATTAAAAAATCTGATGTTTTTAAATGGTGTTGCCTCGGAAAGGGGGGGTAGTCTTATGCGGCGAGTATAGCCCAAAACCTATGTTTTTAACTGGAAAATTAGGGGGTCGTCTTATACACCCAGTCGCCTTATACGCCAGAAAATACGGTATATATAGCAGAAGCCATGAGAAGGTTCTCACAGGTCAACTTATTAGTCATTTGTGGTGGATTCTCCTTTAACCAACAATTGTTTACATATCATGTACCTATGTGTGTAAAATACGATTTTATTTTACAATGTATAGGATTAAAAAAAATATTTTAATGAACGTTGCCCTTGGCACCTACAGTATAAGGTCCCATTTATATGATTATTTTTGGATTTACATTAACAAGGTGCCTTGATAACCCGTAAAGCCAACATATTCTTGTAGTAAACTGTTCACATACCCACTTAATACATATTTAATAATAGAAAAAAAATGTAAATCACAAAACCATAAAAAACTACAAAGCTCTTCCCATTGGCCACTAAATCAAACCATAACCTGTAGTCCCAGAGATATGACACAACAGTATGACAAACATAAAAATATGAAAATACAAATCTGTTTTTTTTTAAGTTTTAAATCATAAATACAATATATAAAGAAAAAAATGAATAAAAAATGTGTAAAAAAATACATATTTTTTTAAAATGTGTGAAAGTATTACCTTTTTATATTAAAAGAGTAGTGGTGCATTCAATGCAACATGGTCTCCCAATGGAAAGTCAGGAATGTACAGATAGTCGAAGAGTGTAATGTCAATATCCCAGTAACTTAAACGGACTCTTAATCCTCCTTTATATTACTAAACATTAATTTATTTCCAAGAAATTAAAAAGCTATTTACATCATACTTATTTACATTATGCCTTGAGTACCATTGCTATAAACATGCAAAGGGTGACAGTGGTTGAACAAACCAGATTTTTTTAATAAGACAAAATAGGAGCATTGAAACCTATCAAACCAAGAAAGAAAAACAGATTAAAATTTTGGATTCAGTTATCCATCTTGTAAAGCAGGGGCTTTATAATAAAAATTAACATCAAAATGTCAGATGGTGTATGTGATTCAAAATGCACACTGCTGTCAGAATAACAATTTTGTAAAGATTATAATTTTATATTTATGTATACAGATTTAGAAAAAAAAATAAGACAATTTAAAAGCACTGACCATGAAAGTACCATCTGAAACTTCTCTTCAAGCTGATAATGAGTCAAGAAATCTGCAGTGCATTTGTCTTTGTTTTCTTTTGTTTTTTTGTTCTTTTTTAACCGAACCTATCATATATTACTTGACATATTCCAAAAAAGAACAGTCACTCTAAAACAAAATTCATTTGCTACTAGATATTTTAAAATCGAAACGAGATCCCATTTTAGACATGTGCATGCCAGAAATTTTTGTTTTGTTTCATTTCGGATGCATTCATTAATTGAAGAATTTTGCTTCGTCATATTTATTATATTGAACCGATTCACTTTCAGAATTTGTTTGATATTCGTTTTGTATATTTGTTGTTCTGGGTGGATTTGAAAAATTTAGCTTTTTTTTTTTTTTTTTGGAAGACTGCTATATATTAGTTTTTGGCATATCGAAACAATTCGACATATTCTAAAGGATTCAAAATTTTTGGACGAAACCAGGGGCGGACTAACAACTCAATTCTATGCAAAGTATTCCAAATGTCGGTACCATTAAAGCTGCACTCTGGACAAATATTAAAAATTATTAAAGATTAACTCCAGCCCAGGGGCGGACTGACAAACTCAAAAAAACCTATGAAAAAGGTACCAGGGGCATCTCATGGGGCCCCCTACTGACCCCGGGCCCTCGGGCAGTGCCCTGAGTTTCCAAATGGTCAGTCCGCTCCTGGACGCCACAATAAATAATGCAACATTTGGCAGCCCTGAGTTTTTTAAATCTAAGAATTGCATTAGACTTTGGAATTGAATTGATTGATTCGGGTTGATTTACTAAAACTGGAGAGTAAAAAATCTGGTGTAGCTGTACATGGTAGCCAATCAGCTTCTAACTTCAGCTTGTTCAATTACGCTTTGACACAAAAAAAACTGGAAGCTGATTGGTTTCTAGAGCTGCACCAGATTATGCACTCTCCAGTTTTAGTAAATCAACCCCACTGGGGTTTATTTACTAAAGCTGGAGAGTGCAAAATCAGGCTCACTTCTTCTAACTTCAGCTTGTTCAGTTAAGCTTTGGCAATAAAACATGGAAGCTGATTGGTTCCTATGCAGAAGTCAGCCTGATTTTTGCACTCTCTAGCTTTAGTAAATAAACCCCACTGTGTCAATTACAAATTCGATTTAAATCACAAATGTATTTTATTGCACAAACACATACATGGGTCAAAATTGGACCGATTTTTCGTCTGAAAATAGGACCTAAGAATAATCGGTTGATTTTCGCTCTGTTAGTGGGTCAATGGCACCGGCCAATTTTCATGGTTCCTCCCCTTTTCGGTGATCGGGCATGTTGGAAAATTTGTGAAAAACAACCGATTTTCGACTCAATGATGGTCAAATCCTACGATCGTTTTTCCGAAAAGAATATGCGCATGAGCCATGACCTGGAAGGAATAGAAGTTTTGCCTGTTATATGGGGTGAACTTTATGACTTGGACGGCCGATTTTGGAAATCATTGATGGCACTATGGGATTTCCAAGCGAACAATGCTTGCGATTCAATTTTTGTTCGGAATTCGACCCATGTATGAGCTGCATTAGGCCTATCAGGCACTCCACAGGCAGCACAAGCAGAATTTGACATTTCTTATCCGAATTCAAATTACTGAATGAATGTGAAAATTGAATTAAATTCCCCATGAGCCCCAACTACTATTTCATCATGTGACATCATCCGAATGAAACAAATGCATTTGTTAATTTCGCTATAACTTTTTGGTTCATTGACATTCATTTTCATGTCCATTTGGAAATTCGTATATATCAGAATCTCCGAAAATAATTTGTAACAAAACTCAGGTCTATTCCATTTCTTCAGATAGTTTCTTAACTCCAAATGGCACTGCTGTACATCTTTAGATCCCAATGAATTTATTTTTTTAAAAAAATATGACAATATGGTTTCTACATGAAAAAAAAAAGTATTTTCACAAATGTATCCAATCAGAGCACAATTTCAGCTACTGATGACCAGTGTTGGAGTTACTAATCAAAAGTGCAACACGTTACTTCTGCATGCAATAAAATAATACAACAAAAACTCTTCCCTGATTTGTTTAATAAAATGAGCAAAAAATAAATATTGTACATTGTTTTCAGGTTAAACCATCCTCATGACATTGAAGGATGTTTAATTGGTTTGAACCATTCCACCAGTATAGAAAACTGGTAGATTATTCCACAGTATTTTTATTTTTTTATTTTTTAAGTCACTGTTGAACACATATTATCCATTTCAATACTTGGCGTAGACAAAGAAAGGTGACATCCTCCCTGAACGCAATAACATCTTGTCAACATATCAACCTTCGGATACCAAAGGAGAGATTAGAAATTCATGTTTTGTTTTGTTTAAGAGATGAAAGTTGTCAGAACAAAGTGGTGGTGTGATTTTTTTTTTTCCTTAGAAACACTTGTCCAACTTCTGCAAAATAAAATATAGGGAATCTATACATACAGTTCATATGTTGAAGGTGGAAATGGATATTTGTCTTTGTGTAAAGCCAAGTGGACAATCAATTTGTGGCTTAAATGAAGAATGTGATTCTCCGGCTTGGATAAAGAACGTGACGAGTAACAAAATTCTGAAGGTAAAGTCGTTGTTAAATGAAATTCCGGTCTGTTTCAGGAAAATTGGTAATAAACAACGCTGGTCACGTCAAATGAACACCTGGCTTTCCAAAAGGCCTTCAAAAAAACATCCCTGAGGTCCTTCTTATAATGAAACGTTTCTCAGCAGAGCAATGGAAATTAGAATCCGGGGGAATTTCCAGGATTGTTTAATGGAACAACTGAAAATAAAACTTAGTTGTCACCTCTGGCAAAACACATTATTTTACAAAGTAGAAAAAAAAAAAAAACAAAGCGAGTGTTAAAGTTCTTTTTCAGTTTTTTTTTTCTTTTTTTAACGAACGCATCTCATGTACTTCCTATTTACAAATGTGGCACAGAAGGGCAGAAAATGAGAAATGGATTCCTTCCCATAGAAAAAGAAGTCTGAATTTTGGCCCAGCTAGAAGTTTTGTCAACATTAAACACTTGTACAATTTGGAATTTCCTTTGTGCTTTCACTGTTTGCAATTGTGGATATGCTACCTGTAAGAAAAGAAAAGAAACAAGTTTAAAGATTATTTTGACCACATGACCTCCAGAAGGTTTTACTCGCTTCATGAACAGAGCATCTTTTTTTGCTATTCAGCACTGTGCTACTTTAACTGGCAATTGCTCGGTCATGCAACACTGTACCAAAATTAAAGATATAATTTTTTTCACACAAGTATTATTATTATTATTATTACATTGAGTTTATATAGCGCCAAAGGGTTTACTCAGCGCTGTACAATAGAGGGGGGGGGGGGACAATACAAGAAACAGAACAGCAACAACAGTATACGAGGGGTTGGAGGGCCCTACTCTTTCGAGCTTACAATCTAGGAGGGAGGGGGTAGTAGCACAAGAGCAAGTGGCTGTGGGGGATGGAGTGGTAGGAGGAATGAAGGAGAACGGCTGTTAGGTGAGAGAGGGGTAGGCTTCCCTGAAGAGGTGGGTTTTCAGGGAGCGCCTGAAGGTGAGGAGGAAAGGTGACAGTCTGATGGATTGGGGCAGTAAGTTCCAGAGGATGGGGGAGGACCTGGAGAAGTCTTCCAGTCATGCATGGGAGGAGGAGACCAGAGAGCAAGATAGAAGGAGGTCCTGTGAGGAGCGAAGGGTACGGGTAGGGTGGTACTTGGGAATCAGGTTGGTGAGGTAGTTAGGGGCAGTGTTGTGAATGGCTTTGTAGGTCAGGGTTAGTAGTTTGAATTTGATGCGTTGGGCAATCGGGAGCCAGTGGAGGGATAGGCAGAGGGGGGTGGCAGAGGTGGAGCGGTTGGTGAGGTGAATGAGTCTGGCCGCTGAGTTCAGGATGGTCTGAAGCGGGGAGAGCCTGCACTGGGGTAGGCCGGTGAGGAGGGAGTTGCAGTAGGCAAGGCGTGAGATAATCAGGGAGTGAACGAGTAGTTTAGTGGTGTCTGGGGTAAGGAAGGAGCGTATCTTGGCAATGTTGCGGAGGTGGAGCCTGCATGTGTTTGTAAGTGATTTGATATGAGGTTGGAAGGAAAGGTTAGAGTCCAGAATGACGCCAAGGACTTTGGCTTGCGGGGCGGGATTGATGGTGGGTGTTGTTGGTAGTGATGGATAGGATGGGGGGGGTGAGTGGGCAGGGGGAAAGACGAGGAGCTCGGTTTTGGAGAGGTTTCTTTTGATGGTATTTGATCACTACTGAGTTTTTGTATTTTTATTATATAAACAAAAAAAGACAGAAAATTAAAAAGAAAAAAAAAAATATTTTCTACTTTCCGTTATAAAACACATCCAACAAAAAATAGAAAATCTAATTTCTTTATTAAATTTAGGCCAAAATGTACTCTTTGGTACATCTTCAAACTATGGTATATACAGGTGTACCTCGGTTTATGAATTTAATTAGTTCTGCGGGACTTTTCGGATTGTGAAAAATTGGTAAACCATAGGAATGCATTGAAAACCAATTAATCCGTTCCAGGGGTCAGAAAAAAAGTAAAAAAAAGTTTTATCTGTTCAAAACTCTTCATAAAGTGCACTTTAAAGGCATAAATACTGTACAGGGACATGACTGAAAAAAAAATTTTGTGAATGCATTGAAAACCAATTAATCCATTCCGGAGGTCAGAAAAAAGTAAAAAAAAGTTTTATCTGTTCAAAACTCTTTATAAAGTGCACTTTAAAGGCATAAAGGGACATGATTAAAAAAAAAAATTGTAAATGCATTGAAAACCAATTAATCCGTTCCGGAGGTCAGAAAAAAGTAAAAAAAAGTCTTATCTGTTCAAAACTCTTTATAAAGTGCATTGAAAACCCAATTAATCCGTTCGTATTGTGAAAAAAAATTCATAAACCAAGGTATTATTTTCAATGGATTTTCATTTGTAAATCGAAAATTACGTTAACTGAGGCGTTCGTAAAACGAGGTATACATGTATACTGGAATTTAAGTAGCTCTGGCACTATACTGGTAATGGCAGTGATCAGCGATTTATAGTGGTTCTGTGATAGTATGGTGGGCAATCTGGCATTAACAGCCACTGACTGAGACGGACACTAACTGACACTGACATCACTGGCAACACTAATCCAATGATCAGATACACTGTAATACTGTACACTGTCACTGCACTAATGACACTGGCTGGGAAGGGGTTAACATCAAGGGGAAATCAAGGGTTTAACTGTGTGCCAAACAAGTGTAATGTGTGCAATGCATGCTGTTTTTACTAACAGATCTGGCTGTCTTTTCTCCCTGCTTTGCAGGAAGAAGAAACAGCTAGATTGCTTATCTGTGTGTAGAGCCTTGTGTGTTTGTAACCACAGGAATCTGTGATTGGCTACAGCTGATCAGCAGGTCTCAGCCATAAATCATTGGCAGGGACCTGCTGACAAAATCCTGCTGTAGCCAGTGAAAGTGAAGATCAGCAGGAGCCAGCACATGCACCCCCCTAACCTGGAACAGGCTGAATGATGTACATGTACATGTTCTAGCCTGTTCATGCCGCCCGCTTGCCGTAAATGTACTATGGGCAGGTGGGAACTGGTTAAAAAAATGGTAAAAAAAAATTAATGCAGCTATCTGCATACCAGTTATTGGTTTGAAAATTATTTTACCTGTAAAAATGTTTACTTTTTTCTCTTAAAAATACGTAGAAGAAACTTTTAAAGATTTTTGAGTTTGGTCATTTTCTAAATATGGCCCTCAAAGAGTATAATATTAAGGCTTACTGAGAAAATGATGCCAGTAGTTGCCGAACGCGAAGAACATGACTTAATTTTGTGCAATTTGTTCCAAATGTATTTCATAGGTCTGGTCATGGCATTTGATCTCAAATATTTTCCACTATGCCTTCATATACCACAATGAAAAGCAATGCATTTTTAAGTAATGTAACTGTTTCAAAATGATCAGTTATTTGAACTTACTGCTTTGAAAATGTACTAGTAAGTGTTCAAAGGACTAGCAGACCAGGGGCGGACTGACAACTCATGGGGCCCCCGGGCAATAGGGGATCATGGGGCCCCTGTGTCCTTGCCCAAGCTCAAAAAAGCCTATGAAAAGGGTACCAGAGGCATCTTATGGGGCCCCCTACTGACACCGGGCCCTCGGGCAGTGCCTTAGTTTCCATATGGTCAGTCCGCCCCTGTAGGAGACATCAGTAGCATATGGAGGAAAGTGGTTAGATGTTTTGTACTGTATGAGTGGAATGGAAAGGGTAGTAGTTGGCCATGGTTTACCAGGCAAAGGGATTGCCTTCCTTTAGATAGAAACATCTAGGATTCTTAAAGCTGAAATTTAGATATGGCTTTTATAGCATATCAACATTGGTCCAGCTTGGATCAATGTAAGCATGCATATCTCATCAAAGAATAAGAGAACTGCCTCCTGTGCTCAAGAGTGGTGAGAGGATGGAAATATTTCTGGTCCTTGAAAACATCAGCACAAATCTTGATGCCCTCTAAGGGTCGCGGAAAATTTAAAGTGCTCACTGCAAAAACAAAGAAACAGATGGTGCGCCGGACAAGTGCATTACCTGAGAATTACCTTTATTGAGTTAAAAGGAGATCTATATATACTTACAAATGACTGTGTTAACAAAGGCATATCAGTATCCAAACCAATCACGTCATGAGGTCAGCTCCCAAAGCATGAGAAGACCCTCAAATAGCTAACGAGTTTCGAGGGGCGATCCCTTCTTCATCAGAGGCTCTGATGAAGAGGCGATCACCCCTCGAAACGCGTCAGTCTTTTGAGGGTCTTCTCGTGCTTTGGGAGCTGACCTCATGACATGATTGGTTTGGATACTGATATGCCTTTGTCAACACAGTCGTTTGTGAGTATATATATATCCTTTTAACTCAATAAAGGTAATTCTCAAGTAATGCACTTGCCCAGCGCATTGACCGCTTTTAGCTGCTGTTCCATCCATAGCAAACTTTTTTTGCTGCAAGGCTTGCCTTTAATAAAAAAGAGTTTTTGTTTAGTGGGTAATTTGTTGGAGATGTATTTCTTTATTTAATTTATGTTAGGTTATGTTTTGTTTTATATTTTTAAGTTACACTGCTCTTTTGTTGTTTTGTTTTTTTGTTTTATTTTGGTTTTTGGTTTTGCTTTGGTTTGGTTTTTCTGCACGGCTTCCCTTAAAAAAAAAAGAGGGGGCTTCTGTTTCAAGGGTGGCATTTGGGGTTTTTCATTTCCAAAGCAACTTTAGGTAACATGTACACCCCCATATATTTACCCCAAAATAAAATCAACAAAGTCCGATGATTAAAAAGATGTTACATTAGTAATATCTTGTTAAAGGGGAAGTACAGCCAAAACTCTTTTGGCTTTACTTCTCCTGTGGATCACAGTGCAGTTCGTTCTGCACTCCTGTGACCCGTGGGCTGCAGCTTGCTCTTGGCTGATGACATTCAGCTGGTGTAGGCTTGGGAAAGATCCTGACTTTAAAGTTGGGATCCATCCCAGAGTCTGGAGTGAAATCTGGCTCAGCCTCTCAGCAAGTCACTGGGAGCCGGAGTCAGCAGATCCCTTCCCCTCCACATCAATCCATCCATAGTATCCATCTACAGTATATATAGTATCCATCCATCTTCCATCTATAGCTATCTATCTATATCTATCTATCTATCTATCTATCTATCTATTCAAAACTATCTTCATCCATGTAGAGTATCCATCCACCCCACCTATCTCTGTATCCATCCTTTCATTTTATCCATCCATCCATCTATGTATAGTATCCATTCATCCATCCATCTTCCATCTCTATCTAACCATCTATCTATCTATCTATCTATCTATCTATCTATCTATCTATCTATCTATCAAACTATTATTCATCCATTTAGAGTATCCATCCATTCACCCACCTACCTATAGTATCCATCTATCCATCTGCAGTATCTATAGTATCTATTCATCCATCCACCTGTGTATACTATCCATACATCCATATCATATCTATCTATCTATCTATCTATCTATCTATCTATCTATCTATCAGTGGTCTCCAAACTGTGGCTCTTTGCTTTCTTTTATCCAGCCCTTGAGGCACTATTTCATCCACTGATACTAACAATAGGGCGAGAGTCCCCACACTGACACCAATGAAGGGGCAAAATTCCTCCCAAGGACACTAACAATGGGGTACAATTCCTCCCAATGATACCAACAATGGGGCCAAAGACACCATTGATGGGGAACTATTCCTCTGACTGATGTCAATGTTGGGGCACTGTTCCTCCCAATGATACCAAAGATGGAGCATTGTTTATTCTCACTGATGTTGGCAATTGTTCTACTCCCAATAGCCACAGTCCGGTCTCCCTAAAATTTGGAAGACGTCTATACTATCTATCTGACCATGCATCTATCTATCTATCTATTTATCTATCTATCTATATCTATCTATCTATCTATCTATCTATCTATCTATCTATCTATCAATCAATCTGTATCTATCTATCAATCTATATCTATTTTTCTATCTATCTATCTATCTATCTATCTATCTATCTATCTATCTATCTATCTATCCACCTTTACATTAATATGTATGAACACTGTTATGTAATATAAACGATTTATTATTCTTTGATTTTAATTATCCAAAGGATTTAAAGAAACACCTATGACTCAGAGGATGTCAAGATGCCTTTCTGGTTCATTTTATACCATAATTATTGTAATTTGTTGCCATTTTATGGTGATTATATATCTACGTATTTTCTGATCATTATTACCCTCTGTGAAGGCTTTGAAGTTAGCCCGCAGAGCTCACTACTCAAGCTTCCTGGGACTGTCATAAAACTCCTAACATAAAATCATCTTATTGTATTTTAATAGAAAAATATCCTTTTTTTTTTCCGGCAAATTATACCCAGTTCTTTAGAACATCTTCACAGAAACATCCACTTACGCTCTCTGATTTAATAGGATTTAAATGTTCTTAATGCCATGAAGTGCAAAGCCGCCCCGAATGTTAAAAACGCACGATCACTGTGCAAATGCAACTGGTAATCAAATGTGCCATTGCTTTGAACCCTAGCACCGTGCATGTTTGAAAAATACATTAACGCAATGACAAGGTAATATTGCCTGCAACATCTACATCAGCTCAGGGGTCATAGAAAAGCAGCGCTTTCGAGGAGAGGGGGTGGGTGCCTCTCGGTGTTCTCCAGCACGGCCAAATGATGTGGAACCCATTCATTAAAATACTGTCATGGACGTTTTGCAACTTGGCTTTATATCTGATTAAATGACTGGCTACACATTGCTGAGCAATTATTTTCCATCAGCGTAGTACGCCGGGGTTCAGGACGCTTTGTAGAAATAGTTGCGTACCGATGACTCGTGTGTGTGTCCAGTTCCTTGTCTGCCAGCTCCTCCTCCGTGAAGTTGCTGAGCGATATTTTGGGCGCGTTGTCATTTTGGCTGACGGAGCCAATCATTTCTTGTTCTTTATCATGCTGAACCTGCGCGTAAATATTAATCCATGGGATTTTCCTGCAGTCAAAAAGAGGTTTGCATTGTAAAAGGGAAACGATACATGTTTTGGTCAATTTTACATTTTCTTTAAGTGTATGTCAAGCCAAAGACTTTTTCTTCAAGTTTTGGATAGAGTGGGGAAGGATTTTGAACACCTATTGGGTTTGTTCTGCTATCCGGAGTTCCATTAAAGAGATTCCCTCTTAATTCCTGTCCTGCTAGACACACAAGAACTGAGACAAAATCTGTAACAGGGTTCCAGATAGAACCAAAGATCAGACATGGTTCTAGCCTCCCCCTACTTTTTCCTGGAACCAACATGGCAGAATACTACTACATGTACAGTATGCTGCCATGTTTTTTTTTTTTGTTTTGTTTTTTTAATTGAGTTTACTCAAAAAGAATGAGTACAGTAACATTAAACATTAGTGGCAAACATCTTGGACATACAGTGGAAAAATTACAACAGATCGTACAGGTCACAATTGACATAGTGGTCAATGGCAACATATACAGTGCACTTGTAAATATACCAGTTATACTCAAAATTCCAACCAAATCATTCTTTGAGTTCCTTCAAAGACCTCCTGCTCTCCAGCTGCCTTGTCACCTCCTTCCTTGCTTGTCTCTAGGACTTCTCCCGAGCATCTCCCATCCTATGGAACTCCTTACCCCAATCTGTCTATCTCATGATCTGTCCATCTTTAGACAATCCCTGAAAACCCTTCTCTTTAAAGAAGCCTATCCTGCTTCAATACACTGTGTTTTTACTTTTTTCGTCAGCTCATCCCCCACAGTTATTACCTTTTGTACTATTTGACCCTCTTAGATTATAAGCTCTATCGAGCAGGGCCTTCAGATTCCTTCTGTACCAAATTGTAATGGAACTGTAATGTCTGCCTTAATTTTGTGCTGCACAAAAATCTTGTATTATAATAATAATAATACCAAACCACTCAAACTGGATTGCCATAGTCACAATTCAGAGAAAATCACCCAGCATCCAACAATTTGAACATACAAGTAACCTTCTTGGGAGGGGGCCAAGGAAAATGGGAGATAACGGCAGGGGAGTAGCAATACCAGTGGGAGGGGTAAGAGGGCAATAGAGGAGAAATGGGGAACAGAAAAGCTACCAAGGAAAGAGAAAGATTGAGGGTCATCCAACCAACTGGAATTTTAAGACATTTGCAGTGGTAAATCTCTGGATTCAACCTATGTTTCCCAGATTTTAGTAAACTTCCTAGAGCAATTTCATCCCAAATAAGTAAGCGTATAAAGTAACAGAACTTTGTTGATCATGGATCTCTACTGCTGCAATGTGGGAGGATCCGATACCTTGCATTTGGTAAGCATAGACTTCCTAGCATTGTACAACATATAGAAGAGAAACAACCTCTTGTGGTGTGTAGTGTCAATCATATCACATATTCCCAGCAGGAGCAAGAGTGGGTTCATGGGAGCCACCAAGCTACTTACTGCACCAACATAAGCCTCCTCTGCTTGCCAAAAATCTTGTATAAGAGGGCAAGACCAAACCAATGCTGCCATGATTGGGTGTCAGGAAGGGAACATGATAGTAAGCATTTGATAAAGTTTTCTGTTTTCCTTGCACCAACATGACAGCATACATGTGGAAGTATGCTACCATTGAATGTTGCCAAGAAAGAAAATTATGGTAAGTATTTGATACAATTTTCCATTTTCCTGACATCAACATGGCAGCATAAGTATGGTATCCATGGATTGGCACCAGGAAAGGAAAATTACGCTAACAATTTGATAAATTTTTCCATTTTATTGCCATCTCTAATCTGTGGAAGAATTCCCCACACTTCCTGTCTGATAAAAAGTTGGCAACAAGAGTTAGAGTTCTGCATAGCAGTAAAAACACAACAGTGGCTCTTACTCTTCCCAATATCTTCTAACTAAAAAAATAATACATTTTGGCAAAACAAACACATTTTTTTTACTCAAGGTTTTTATATTATTGTACATTTATCTGATAAAAGGGGCACCTATGACACTTCTGTAACAGAGAAAACAAGAAAAAGATGTTTGTCTTCAGATTTTCTCACTCTGAGTTTGGACATGAAGTAGGAAATGGAGGGGAGAGGAGACACTCAAGTGACTCATTCAGTTATGTTCACAATAATGACCTTGAGCTTTTGAGCTTCGTAAATAATGGATTTTTTTAAACAGCTAAAGCATCCCATAGAATATGCAATTTTTTTTTCTTTCACCACAAGTGGAACGAAAGAAAATGACTCGATTCTCCCATCAACACAGTCAGTGTTGATGGAAGGAATACCTCCTGCAGCACTATTGTATTCTGAGAGGCTGGTTGTACTGAAGTCGATTGATGGATCAACTTCAGTACAACCAGACTGGCCATAGATGGATCGAATTTTGGTGGTCTGAGTGAGTGGTCCCTGGAGGAGGTGAGAATGAGGAAATGTCTTCCTTCATTATCTTTTAGACAGACTTTTATAGAATATGTGTTGGCAGAATAACTTGACCGTATTGAAGGAATGATTTTTCAACAACCAACATTTTATTTTCATTATGTTGTTGATGTACATTGCTAGGAATTTATTCACACTGAAAAGCTTCTAACAAGTATGTTTTAATGGAGAATTCATTCCGATTTGGATACCTGTCTTCCCTGGTTGAATGGGGATTAGATAGGGATTGCGCCAAACCAGAGCACTAGGTGAAATGTATTCTTAAAGCTGAGGCACAGCAAACAGGTTTTTAAGACACAGCTCTTTATAAGCTCCACCCCAGCTTAGGTTCACTGATAAGCTCCACCCTCTTCACCAGCACAACCCCAGCTACACTTGCACAAGTCAGCACTCTTTATAAGCTCCACCCCAGCTTAGTTTCACTGATAAGCTCCACCCTCTTCACCAGCACAACCCCAGCTACACTTGCACAAGTCAGCACTCTTTATAAGCTCCACCCCAGCTTAGTTTCACTGATAAGCTCCACCCTCTTCACCAGCACAACCCCAGCTACACTTGCACAAGTCAGCACTCTTTATAAGCTCCACCCCAGCTTAGTTTCACTGATAAGCTCCACCCTCTTCACCAGCACAACCCCAGCTACACTTGCACAAGTCAGCACTCTTTATAAGCTCCACCCCAGCTTAGTTTTACTGAAAATCTCCACCCTATTCACCAGCAGAGCCCCATCTACACTTGTACAATGATAATTATATATAATATCTGCAGGAGAAGGGGGATTGATAAATTCATTGGGAGTCAGTATAAACAAACTTCATTTCATCTTACCTCTTGAACTTGTAGATTAAAAAAACAGCTAAGCCCACGAACACGACCGAAAGGAGCATCAGCATTGCTGAACTGCTGTGACTGGCACTATTGTCCACTAGTGGTGCTGGGGGAAAAAAATAGGATAAAAATTATTCTCATTTTTTTTTGCGATTTTCACAATCATATCTTTTACCATTTGCCAAATATTGTTGAAATAAAAAAAAATAAAAATTTTCAATTTTGTTCATTGACCTGCAAAATGTGTTTGAATGTTCTACTCTTAGTTTTTTCTTTATTTAGAAGGTCTGTCTTTTTGGAGTGTGTGTTTAAATCAGTTCTACTTAATACATTAGGTGTTCTTTGTATTGTGTTTTTTGTCTTTCCTTTTTCTATGTACATATTTGTTCATATTTGTTCTTTTGTGTTTAACCCCTTGTTTCACTTATTTTTACTATATATATATATACATATATATATATATATATATATATATATAAAAGACAAATTAAACTGAAATCTCCTGCTTTTTCCCGAAATTACTGGGAGTTGAAAACGCAAACTTTTGTTTATCCCTAGCTGCCAATACCATGTAAGTTTCCCAGCTTTTTTTTTTTTTTTTTGCAGCAAAGGATGGGCCGCACCACTGCCATTTACTTTTCAACAAAGCTTAATAGTCCCATGAGCATCAACATCCCATCAAACACAGGCTCTTTTCTTCCTAAGGCTTAATCACCGTCTGTGTTTTATTTCAGTAAACAAAAAAAAAAGGTGAAATAATGAGGCTAAAGAGGAGACATTTTTTAGCACACAAACAGATCAAGGATAGGTGAAAGGAGCTTCTGCAATAATCAGAGGTATTTTAAAACTGGTTGTTCTCTTCAAAGTCAATCCTAATTCAACTTTCTTCATTTACTTAATACCCTAAAGCGTCAGAGCTTTTGCCAGTGTTTTAGGGGATAACAAGCTCTCAATAAAGTTTATCTGTAAACACCAATCACATTTAATTGCTTAAAGTGATATTAAAGAATAAGTTCACCTTTTGGCCAAAAATAATAAAAAAGTGCATTTATTATTTTTGGCCAAAGGAGCCTGGAAAGCATTGAGATAGTGATCAGTAGATCACTGATGCCATGCAGGTCTCCTGCAGACCTGTCAGACTATCTGCTTGCTGTACGGGATGTATGGGATGTACAGTCAAGCAGATATACTGACAGGGAGCTTGAATGAACTACCGCAGGGCTTCACAGCGCCGTGGCAGTTCACTGAAAACTACAAGCTGACAGCCGGTAAGGCTGTTGGGACTTGTAGGCACTCATTCGTAGAACACTATAAATGAGTGACGCGGCCGTGTAGACGGAGCCCCGCACGGCCGCCCTGTTTTCAAATCTGATAGATAGTACAGGGAAACTTCTCCTCGCATTGCCTATCAAAGGGAGGGGGGCAGTGAGTGCAGCTGCAGCTATGGGAACATGTTACATGTTCCACCCTAAAAACAGGTGGAATATGTAACATGTTCCCAAAGGTGAACTTATCCTTTAACCACTTGACCTCCAGAGGATTTACCCCCCTTAATGACCACGCCTCTTTTTGCTACTCAGCGCTGCACTAATTCAACTGATAATTGCGCAGTCATGCAATGCTGCACCCAAACAAAATTTACGTCCTTTTTTTCACACAAATAGAGCTTTCTTTCGGTGGTATTTGATCACCTGTGCGCTTTTTATTTTTCACGCTATAAACAAAAAAAAGGCCAAAAATTTTGAAGAAAAACAATATTTTTTACTTTCAGCTATAAAAAATATATAGTAAACTCAAAGTTGGTTAGAAATTTAGGCCAAAATGTATTCTGCTCCATGTTTTTGGTAAAAAAAATCCCAATAAGTGTATATTGATTGCTTTGTGTGGAAAGTTATAGCGTCTACAAACTATGGTATAGATACTGCAATTTACGCCATTTTTTTGCTATACAGCGCTGCGCTAGTTTAATGGACAATTGCGCGGTCATGCTATACGGTACATAAATAAAATTTACATCCTTTTTTTCCCCACAAATTGAGCTTTCTTTCGGTGGTATTTGATCGCCTGTGCGGTTTTTATTTTTTGCGCTATAAAAAAAAGGCTGACAATTTTGAGGAAAAACAACAATATTTTGGACTTTTTGCTATAAAACATGTCCAGTAAAAAAAAAAAATGTAAAAATCAAATTTAGTCATAAATTTCTGCCAAAATGCATTCTGCAACATTTCTTTGCTTAAAAAAAAACCCCAATACGTGTAAATTAACTGGTTTACGTGAAAGTTATAGCGTTTACAAATGGTGGGAAAGATACTGGGATTTTTAGTTTTTTTTTTAAACTAATAATGGCGGCGATCAGTGACTGGCAGCAATCAGCAACTTATGGCGGGACTGCGGCAGACATTCTGACACTGGGGGGGTACTGACTTGGGGTCAATGACATCCCCAGTGACACCAATACAGTGATCAGTGCAAAAAAAAAAACACTGACACTGTACTAATGGCACTGGGGAGGAAGGGGTTAAGTTTATTTTACAGGGAAAGGGTTAACTGTGTGAGGGGAGTGTTTTAATAGGCGGCGGGGGTGTGTGTTGGACGGGATAGGCTGATCGAGAGAAGAAACTCTTCTGTCTCCATCAGCTTGTTCTTGAGCTGTCAGGGAAGTGACAGAAAGCACAGCTATTGCAGCTGTGCTCTCTGTCACTGATTGCCGCTGATCGCTGGAAGATAGCCGGTAAGGACCGACTGTGACCCGGCGACTGACACCCGCGGCTGTGATCGGCGGGACAGGTAGGGCGGTGGTGCGCCTCGTGCGCGCCCCCTACCTGTTTACAAAACACTTGTTTTAAAAAGTGGTTTTGCCTGCCCGTGCCTCCCTACTGCCGTATTTCTACAGTGGCAGGGTGGCAAGTGGTTAAAGGTTTTTTTTTTTTTTTTTTTTTTTTCAAATAACAAATGTCATACTTACCTGTTCTGTGTAATGGTTTTGCACAGAGCACCCCTAATCCTCTTTTTCTTTTTGTCCCTCACCGGTGCTCCTGTCTCTTCCCCCTTGACCAGTGTTCCCAGTAGCATACCACTTGCTATGAGGGGCACTGGTGTGTGATTGCTCCCGAACCCCACTCTATGCGTTTATAAGACACATTAAGATGCAGCTCAACCCTGCACCCCGCTCTCTCCTCATTGGCTTACTGGCTGTGATTGACAGCAGTGGAAACCAATGCTGTCCCAGGCAATGAGGAGAGAGAGTCCGGGACAGCCAAGGCTCTCATGCTCATCGCTGGACCAAGAGGGGACTTAGGTGAGTATTGTGGGGCGGCATCGCTCCTGGCTCATCCTTGACCAGTGCCCCCCATAGCAAGCCGCTTGCTATGGGAGCACTGGTGCATGCTCACACCCGATCTGGCTCTCTGCATCTATAAGACACGTCCCTGGCTCGTCCCTGCCCCTCACCCTCTCCTTATCCTTATTGGCTCCCAGTGGTCAATGGCTCCCTTTGCGCTCTCTGCAATGAGGAGAGAAGGGCCCGTGACAGCTGAGGCTCCGGTGCACATTTCTGGATCAAGAGGAGGCTCAGGTGAGTATTGGGGGTAGCAGCACACAGAATGCTTTTTACCTTTATGTATAGAATGCATGAAGGTGAAAAAAACCCTTCAGCCTTTACCAACACTTTAATTTGTTACTGATCGGCATCTATGAGAAAATGTTAGTACTAATGCCCTTTTTTTTACTGTATGTAAGAGGCAGTAAGGAGTCCTTTTCTTCATCACTAACAAGTGTGTTTCTAGATCACCGGTACGAATGTGAACAAGGGAAAACATTGTTTCATTTCATTTTGGTTTCATTCATTAAGTAATTTTGTTTTGTCACATCCGTTATTTTAGAATAATTTGTTTTCAAAATGTTTTCATTATTTCGGAGAGTATATATTCGTTGTTCCGAAGCGATTCGTTATTTCAGAAAATTGGCTATATTCGTTTAATGTTAATTTTTTATTTCGGGAGATTACTTATGCACTCTGAGTCATCCCTGCCAGTCCAACCCACAAAGAAAAATGGAATGAGCTGATTGGACGATATCGACAGGAGTCGGTGCTTCCAAAAGTAACAAATGGAACAAAATTAATTTCAGATTCATTCGTTGTGTTATGATTCTGAGATTCTGATGGATCCACCTCCATCCAACCCAAACACAATAAGTAGGAATCATCTTATTTCACTTTTATACATTACTGTATTGATAGCAATATGTTTCCATTCCATGTGTAGAGCATTTTTATAATAATGAAAAACCTTAATGCAAAAAGATTCAGCTGATTTTTAGAATATTCAAGCTTTTCTAGAATAAAAACAAAAGCGTCAGAATCCATTCAGGACATTTGTTATGTTTTCACATTATTTTGGATGCTTCAAACATGAACAAATGGCCCCAAGTATTGCATCATATCATCCAAATGAAACAAATTAATTCATTGTTTTCAACAAAATGTATTTCGATTTGTTTAAATTCGTTACTGTTGTGATTCAGAGATTCTGACACATCCAAATCTCCAAATCATGAAAATTTCATCTGAATTTGGATTCATAACGAAATGGTTCGCACATGTCTAATCACCAGCAAGTGTGTTCCAGGATCACCAAATTTAGACAGGAATTATAAAAAAAATAAAATAAAATAATGAATAAAAACAATATTTGGGGTATGGTATCCTATAATCATGCATCACAACAGGGCAAAAAATGATATCCATAGACTACATGCCTTACCCAATCAGAGAGAAATATCTCTGTAACTAATCCTTATAGTAAAAAACAAACAAACAAAAAAAAACCTCTATTTTTTCATGATAAAATGAACAAGTTTGCAGATAGGCTATGTTCTATACATATATATCTCTATATACACTTCAAGGTTTGATTTTACATTTTACCGAAATGTATGTTTAAATCTTTGCAGTGTATGTAGGCCACCTAAAGTAGTGGTTCTCAACCACAGAAACTCCAGCCAGTTGCAAGATCCTTAACCTCCCACAGTGCCTCTCATGTCCTACAATGCTCCAAGCCCCCTGAGAGCCCTCAGGCTCCACAGTTCCCCCCCAACCTTCCCACA